ACACACACACACACACACACACACACACACACACACACACACACACTACAGAAATACTGAAAAATGAAGAATATAAAAGCAGTCATTTCGAGAACAGAACTGTATAAAATGTTGCCTATTATATTATCACCAATATAGTTCACCCATAAAATAAACAGAATATATTCAAAAAATACAAGATATGAATTTCATTACATCCAATTTTTCTTGAGGCTCTATTGGTTGAAAAATATGTTGTTTTTTTATCTTAAATTTTAATTTTTATGGATGTTGTGACAAGTTTGCATACTTGAAAATTAAATGTATCTAAACAGAACATCTAAAAAAATGAATTGTACTTTATGTTTACATGTTCTCAACAATGGTCACAAGTGAAGGTTAATTAWATGAAACCACTGAGAACTACATGGTCAAAACTTTCTTGTTTGCCAAGGTAATTTTAACTCATTAAAAATATTGGGGAGTTAAATTGAGCACTGTTTGCATATTTGTTCTAACTCTAAAGTTTTATCTTTTATTATTAAGTAAATTATCGAACTGAGGCCTTGCATCCTCTTGGGGATATTAGTTTCCCAAATCAGACCAGTTATCAGGAACATTTTCTTTATTTATTAAATTTGTGTTTTACTGTATCATTTTTACATTTGGAACTATTTAAAAGCAGTGTTTGTTTCTTACAGTGTATGAGATCCTATACCAAAAAGCAAATGGACGTAAAAAATGCAAGCCAAACAAAAGTTTGGTTTCAAGTTTGCCCATTTTCAAACAATCCATTCAAAAAAAATAGAATAAAGTTTATTTATTTATTTATTTATTTATTTATTTATTTATTTATTTATTTATTTATTTATTTATTTATTTTCACAATTTGTCACATATCACAAAACTGCCATTTTTCTCATCTTGTCAGGTTAGAGTTTGAACCCAAAGGTCACAAACCAAACTTGGGCTTCACAACGGGATTCTTACAGGTCTTTTGTTTTTTATTTTTATTTTGTTTGTTCAGAGTAACCAATTAAATATCCAAAAGTTTCATCCATGTTGATTTGAAGCATATTTTCCCTTTAAAATGTCTTTTCTAGAGAAAGTTTGACTTTGCGACAGCTGTTTAACATTGTGTTCCACTACAATGTGTTGATTTTTTTTCCATAGTTACAACTGAGAATGTGGCAGACACACAAAAAAGTACTATTAGAATGTATGTCAATTAAAACATGAATTTGAGATTGTTCAAAAAATCTCAAGTGTGAGTTATTATAAAACGTTTAATTTTTAAATAATCATTCCACATGCATATTTTTACAATTATTGTAATAAACCATTTTGCTTGTTCCTTACGTAACTGAAGCATAACTTCAGTGTTATTCAGTGTTGGATTTATGAACAACCAACCTCAGAGAGAGAAAAAAATCAGGGCTTATTTTGTGCATCTTTCAACGAAACACTTAAATCCCTGCCACTCCTCTGTGTTGTTGATTTGTATCATGTCATTTCTGATAAGAAGGCAGAAAAGAGGAGAGTTCAGATCTCCAATCTCTTCCATAAACCAGCACTCTGTCATCAATATTGTAGAGGAATCCATACTGCAGGACTAGAAGACTAATTAGAGCCAGCTCTAAATTATTTAACTCCCTCTGATTTTATTGATTTGTCAGTTCAAAGCTGCGACTCAGAGCTGTAAAATTGACTCTGCTGAAAGAGACATGTTCGTCTGCTGGTTTATGGCTGTCAGCACACGGACAGGGACAGACACTGATGTACTAATACAGCTGCCTCACACATACGGACACAGACCCAACACAGAGAGGAAGATACACTGAACCGGTGATCTATCACACATATAGACAAACGCACACATGTGGCAATTATCAAGCACGAAATCATACAGCTAACAAGATTATGCATTTGCCACGATAATTAGGAGTTTTGTAAAATAAATAAATAAACGTAAACACAGTAATTCAGCTCACACTCCAAAACACACACTCTCTTGCACACTAATTATGTAGCACTTGATTAACACAGATCTCCATGCGGAGTGCGTGGACCCCTAGGGATCCAGTTAGCCACCTGTTACTAATATTTCAAGTCAAGCATGATAACATCAGAACACAAATACACACGTGTGTATATTACTCACCACTGGCCTCCAATCAAACACGGCAACAGCAGTAAACACCCACATACGTGGAGCAGGCCGGGCCTGTTAGATGTTTGCTAAATTGGTTAATTGCCCAATTGGTTAACTGCTCAGGGATTACATCCAGATGACTGGGAATCAATTGACCAGGCTTGCACTTCAGCTTGTATGATTGACAGAAGTGTGAAATGATCTTATAGGTGGCAAAAAACATGGAAGCTACAATTAATTGATCTGATCAGGTGGCAATGGATCAGTCTGTCCAGGATGTTGAGCTCCTGATAGTTTCGATTTGATTAGGATGAAGAAGGTTTTATATATTTTTATGCATCTATTGATTTTAAAGCCTTGTG